CATCCAAAAATTGAAATCTTGCCATTTGCAACAACATGGATGGAACTAGAGGGTATTATGCTAAGTGAAATAAGTCAATCAGAGAAAGACAACTGTCCTTTGATTTCACTCATGTGTGGAATTTAAGAAACAAAACAGAGGAGCATAGAGGAAGGGAGGGAAAAATAAAACAAGATGTGATCAGAGAGGGAGAAAAACCATAAGAGACTCTTAACCATAGGAAACAAACTGAGGGTTGCTGGAGGGGAGGGGGGTTGGGGGGATGGGGTAACAGGATGATGGGCATTAAGGAGGGCACATGATGTAATGAGCACTGGGTGTTATATAAAACTGATGTATCACTGAACTCTACCTCTGAAACTAACAATACACTATATGTTAATTAATTGAATTTAAATTAAAAAAAAGAAAACCTCTGCCCTCATGGAACTTATATTCTAGTTGAAAAGAGAAAAACAAAAGATAAGAGATAAAATATATATCAGAGAGTTACTGTCTTATTCAAAAAATACATAATGAGCATTCATTTGCATCTGTTCTAGGCAATTGAGATAAAAAAGTGAAAAATAAACAAAGATCCCTACCTCTAGAGACCTTACATTCCAGCTGGGCAGACAATAAAAAAATAAACCTAACAAATAAATTATATAGTCATTAGGGGAAAAAAAGAGCAGAGTTAAGGGAATGTTTATGAAGGAATAGGTTGGAATTTTAAATAGGGTTATCAAATAAGTCCTCATTGAAAGGAGACCTGGAGCAAAGAGAAAGGGGGGGGGTCAACCATATAAAAATCTGGAAGAACATTCCAGGCAGAAGATACGGCAAAAGCAAATGCCCTAAGGCAAAAGAAGGTCAGCTAAATTCTGAGGAATAGTAAGGAGTTAGTGTGGCTGGAATAGAGTGTGCGTAGGGAAAAGTAGTTGGAAAGTACTACAGAGAAAAAGCAGGGGAGAAAGAGGGAGAATAAGCATGGGGGGGGAGAGGAAGAACTTAAATAGCCTTTACACTTTATCTCTCACATGGTAAATTTTGAAATATTTTTGATTGATGAATCACATACCAATGTAACAATGACAAGAGCTACCAAAGATCCAGTCTAAGAAGAGCCCTTATGTTAATTAAAATATAAATTGTATGAAGAAACTAGTAATAGTAAAATTGCAATTCTGCTTATTTCAAAAATTTATGTTCAATTACCTGGAAAACACTGTATTATTAAGATAAAAATAATTTTAAAAAACTCAAAATGAGAAGATAAAAGGAGGCATATAATTCTGGTGGTTTTAAAATAAATTTTGGGGTGCCTGGGTGGCTCAGTTGTTAAGCGTCTGCCTTCGGCTCAGGTCATGATCCCAGGGTCCTGGGATCGAGCCCCACATTGGGCTCCCTGCTCCACGGGAAGCCTGCTTCTCCCTCTCCCACTCCCCCTGCTTGTATTCCCTCTCTCTGTCAAATAAATAAATAAAATCTTTAAAAAATAAAATACGTCCATAAATTTTGATATTCCTTACTTGAAATGATGGAGCTTAATTTCTTTCCCCTTAAGTGTGGCATATACTTAGTAACTCACTTCTAATGAACAGGATGTGATGGTTTGTAACTTCTAAGACTGAATCATAACAGTCATTGCAGATTCCTCCTTTCTGTCTCTCTTGGATGACTGGCTCAGGGGGAAGCAAGCTGACATAAATCTATCAAACAACCTTAGGGGGAGGTGCACCCGTCAAGGAACTAAAGCTTCCCGCCGAAAGCCAACAGTCATCTGAGTATGTTATCTAAAAGCAAACCCTCCAGTACCAGTCAAGCCATGACTACAGACTGGCCATCATCTTGATTACACATTCCTGAAAAACCATGAACCAAAACTACCCAGCTAACTAAGCTATACTTGAAACTATGAGATACAAATGTTTGTCATCCGAGGCCATTAAGGTTTAGGAGTAATCTATTACACAGTAATAGAAAATAAAATAGTAAATATTCAGAACATTTTAATGTCATAAATGATGGAAGTTATTCTGTTGACCTTTAAAAATATGACTATAAGTAAACTCTTCCAAATAAATAAATTTAATATTATCTATCTCAATTCCAGACAAACAGACTTAACCTCAGCTCTACCTCTCTAGAGCATAACCCCAAAGAGTACAGGAATACAAACATTCTTTCTCAACTCTCGAATCAGAAATTCTCTGTTTCAAGGTTCACCCCACAAATCAGACAAGGGATCTCTCCCCAGTAATTGGATACCTAAACTATACACACAGTGACATAAGGATGATGACGACATGCGTTGGTGTTCATATCCCCAACACTGGTCATGTATCTTTCTAATCCCCATTCTACCTGTAACACTCACTTACTGAGGTTGGTGATTTCATTTCAGTACATTTAAACAACCCATTTTGCCCCCTCTTTATTTACTATCCAATGTCTTTCCTGCATCAGCAATGCTATCTCTACTCTAGCTTTCCAATTCTCAGATATACCAAACATTCCACATCATATGTGAGATCTATTTCTTAGAAACCCTCTTTTCTGAGCTAGGCAGAATTTCCATCTGTGGGTTTAATATTTTTAGGTTTAGGTAAATCCTAGCTATTTTATTTTAAATCTTTCCTATTCCTTAAATTCTCTTTTTGATAGCAGAGGATTCACCCTGACAGAGTACTCACTCTCTAACACAGACTCAAACAATCCTTTAAAATTAATGACTTCGAAACTGGGCACTCTCGTCAGGGCAATTTGGCCAACTAGGCCTCCAGAGTGGGAAGCAATATAATTTTAATTTGAAGAAGAAAACAAGAAAGAAAATAAAACATTAACCCAGTGTTCCTTAATTTGATAATTTTTTTTTAAAGATTTTATTTATTTATTTGTCAGAGACAGAAAAAAGGCACAAGCAGGGGGAGTGGCAGGCAGAGGGAGAAGTAGGCTCCCCTCCAAGCAAGGAGCCTGACGCAGGACTCGATCCCAGAACCCTGCGATCATGATCTGAGCTGAAGGCAGACGCTTAACCAACTGAGCCACCCAAGCATCTTGATAATTTTTATGATTAAGACTGAACTTCGAACCATGAGAGACGATGGACTCTGAAAAACAAACTGAGGGTTCTAGAGGGGAGGGGGGTGGGAGGATGGGTTGGCCTGGTGGTGGGTATTGAGGAGGGCACGTTCTGCATGGAGCACTGGGTGTTATGCACAAACAATGAATCATGGAACACTTCATCTAGAACTAATGATGTAATGTATGGGGATTAACATAAGAATAAAAAAAAAATAATAAAATAAAATACTGTTATTAGCAAATAGGTTATATATATCACAGAGAAGTTGTAACCTTGATTTTTCACCATATTAAAGTAACTTCTAGTTAAAAAAAAAAAAAAAAAGACTGAACTTAATTTAACATTAAACCGTTAATGAAGGATAACTATTCTTAAAGAAACAGTACAAACAGAAGAGCTTATTGAGAAATGTTTAAAATATTCAAGCTACTTTTAAATGTCTTTCAAATACTTTAGTAGCAACCATTACAAAGAAAATAATTCACAAATCATTCTTATCTAATCTCTCAGAGCCTCTTCCAGGTAACACTGTTAAAAAAAGACTGTGTCCTGGGATGCCTGGATGGTGCTATCAGGTGTTGGACTCTTGGTTTCAGCTCAGGTCCCATGATCTCACAGTCATGAGATCAAGCCCTGCATTGGGCTCCATGCTGAGCAGAGTCGGCTTGGGATTCTCTCTCCCTCTCCCTCTGCCCCTCCCACTTGTGCTGTCTTCTCTCGCTCTAAAATAAATAATCTTAAAAAAAAAAAAAAAGGCTGTGTTCTTACATTAAAGTAAGAAACTTCACATGTTTCAGTATTTCATTACTCAGACTTTTCACTAATTCAGGCTTATTTATCCTTTACACAATTTAAATAAGGAAAATTTCTGCATATAAACAGATACCATCCTACCGTTTATTAACTGGGCTCTTATATTTCAAATTACTTTAACAGATAATGCCTTCAATAACACTTATGTTCTCAGCCTCATCATTTAAGGGTTTTATCATATGCTACTTTGGGTACCTCATATGTGCATGGATATTACCCAAAGTAGCATATGATATGCTCTATTATGTGCTACCAAGAGTACATTAAAATGTTGTTTAAGAAATAACATGGAACAACAATAAGCTTCAGGAAACTACATTATTACAGACAACTTACTAATCTGGAGATTAATAAAATCAAGACAAAGGAGCACATTCACACATTATCATTTAAAAATTCAATAGGTTGAGGGACACCTGGGTGGCTCAGTTGGTTGAGCATCTGTCTGCCTTCGGCTCAGGTCATGATCCTGGGTTTCTGGGATCGAGTCCCATATCAGGCTCCTTGCTCAGTGGAGAGCCTGCTTTTCCCTCTGCCTGCCACACCACCTGCTTACACTCTCACTCTCTCTCTCCCCCCCTCTCTCTGGCAGATAAATAAAATCTTTTTAAAAAAATTCAATAGGTTAATTTTGGCTTTGAAATACATTGTATCTTGCTTATAAGCCATTAGGCAATAATGAGAAATGAAACTATCTTCATTTTTATAATTGTGTGAAGTTATAATATAACTTCTATCATTTATTACATTAAATGTTTTGAGTATTTACTATTTTATTTTCTATTCCTAGGTAACAAATTACCCTAAACCTTAATGGCCTCAGATGTCAAACATTTGTATCTCATAGTTTCAAGTACAGCTTAGCTATAAGTCAAAGTTCATAATATGTGAAGTTTCTTACTTTAATATTCCTAGTTTCTAAATTTCATGGCAGAGTACTAAAAACTCAATCAAGAAATAAAATGTTTATCAAAATATCATAAAGCTACACTAATTAAAATGATGTGATAGCGGCACAGAAAATAGCACATGAATTCATGAAATCAAACAATCCAGACACATATCCATGCACATATGAGAATTTAGTAGTTATTAAAATGGCATTTCAAATCAGTGACTAAGCTTTGCACAGTGGCAGTATCATAGCCAATGAGGTTTATCCGAGGCGCGATTATTGCTAATCAAATCAGTGACTAAAGAAAGGACTATCCAACCATACCTCATACTAGAACAAAAATAAATTCCAGAAAAATTAAAACTTAAAAAAATATTAAAAAGTATTAAAAGAAACTGTAGAAAATATTCTTGTAGTTCTTGAGGTGAGAAGATCTTCCTAAAAAAAAAATCAAAACTAGGTGGAGAACAGAGGATTTTTAGGGCAGTGAAATTATTCTGCATGATACTATAATGGTGGATACATTTCATTCTATTTGTCCAAATTCTTAGAATATATAATACCAAGTGTGAACCTTAATGTAAAATGTAAACTATGGGCTCTGGGTGATAACGATGAGTCTATGTAGGTTCATCAATTTTAACAAAGGTACCACTTGGGTGGGGCATGTTGCTAATAGGGAGACTGTCCATACGTAGGGACAGGAGGTATACGGGAAATCTCTATACCTTCTGCTTAATTTTGCTATAAACCCAAAACTGCTCTAAAAATAAAATCTACTCAAATTTTTAAAAAGGGGGAGAATCTCAAAAAAATAAAAGAATCAAAACTCAGAAGTCAGTAAAGACTGACAAATTTTACTACACAGAAATTTAAGACTTTGATTAAAAAATCTTTTTAAAATGTGAAATAAATTCTGTGTGTGAAAACAGAAAAAAGGATGGAAATATACGTATTATCTATTTGTTGGTAGATATTTCTGCAGGAGAGAGATGAATTAGGAAGGGAGAAAAATGTCCTATATATAGAACATTCCTGTTTTTCTTCAAAATTTTTATTTAAATTCTTGTTAGTAAACATATAGTGTAATATTGGTTTCAGGAGTAGAATTTAGTGATTCATCACTTACATATAACACCCAGTGCTCATAACAAGTGTCCTCCTTAATACCTATCACCCATTTAGCCCATCCCCCACCCACCTCCCTCCATCAACCCTCAGTTTGTTCTCTATCATTAAGAATCTCTTATGGTGTACTTTCCGCTCTCTTTTTTCCCCTTCCCATATATTCATCTGTTTTATTTCCTAAATTCCACATATGCGTGAAATCATATGATATTTGTCTTTCTCTGACTGACTTACTCCGCTTAGTATAATACCCTCTAGTTCCATCCATGTTGTTGCAAATGGCAAGATTTCATTCGGTTTGGGCGCCTGGGTGGCTCAGTTGGTTGAGCGACTGCCTTCGGCTTGGGTCATGATCCTGGAGTCCCCGGATCGAGTCCCGCATTGGGCTCCCTGCTTGGCGAGGAGCCTGCTTCTCCCTCTAACCCTCCCCGCTCTCATGTACTCTCTCTCTCTCTCTCATTCTCACTCTCTCAAATAAATAATAAAAATAAATCTTTAAAAAAAAAAAAGATTTCATTCGGTTTGATGGTTGAGCAGTCTTCCATTGTGTGTGTGTGTATATATATATAGGCCACATCTACAGAACATTCCTACTGCCTGAAGTTTTTACCATATTACTTAGGCTACATATTACTTAGTAAGTTTTTTGAGCAAAACTTTTTAAAAGAAATAAAATGTGCAATACAATATAATTTAATCCTTAGAATAGACATTTAAATTTAATGTCGAAGCAAAAAAACTGTCAAATGATATAAATGTGAATGTCACTTTTTCCATTGCATTTAATAATTGCATGATGTTCAGAGTAGAATTAAAATCCCAATCCTAAAGTAGAAATAAAATCCTAACTAGAATTACTGCAGTGATCGTTTCACAATATATAGAAATACTGAATCATTATGTTGTACACCTTGAGGTAATGTAATGCTATATATCAGTTATAACTCAATAAAAAATTCTATCAGTGGTAAATATAATACCTTTGCTTCTTCGAGTTCTTTGTCAGCGGTATCCACCACAAAATTTTTCTCTTTTTCTAGTTGCTCTGCTAGTTGGTCAATTTTAATCAATTCTTTACAAAGATGCTCATTGTGGCTGGTTAAATCATCTACTTGACTGCTTACCAGCTCCTTACTATCCAAGAGTTTCCTAACATATTCTTCCAAGCCATGATTTGTCTGTTTGAGATCTTCAATCTGTTATAATTAGAAAGAAAATAAACATTTTAAAATATTTCCTTTGCTTCCCTCTGAGGAGAACAAGCAAGTGACTGGAATCAGGAAGGGAGGTTTGCTTCCCTGGAAGGAGACCTAAATATATATGTATTTTTTCACTTTCTGAATTTTGTACCATGTGAATGTAATACCTATCTTCAAAAAATGTATTAAATGAAAATGTAAAGGTTTATAGCTACGTCTTCCAAGACAATTTACAATTAATAAACTTAATCACTATTGATTTTTAGCCAAAACTATTAGAAAAATAGCCAAATATTTATACCTGCACAAAAGAAACCAGTCTTGAGAGATTGTTTGGAGGTTCTAGCAGGGGAGAGCAGCCAGTCTTGAAATTAATTTTAATAATTAATATCAATTAGATGTTCTTCAGAATTAAATTTCTAATCATTGTTACCAAAATATGTTAACTCTTTAAAAAAAAGTTCTTTTGAACGTATCAATAACTTACTTGACTAAGCTAAATACCAAATCAATCAAGTATTTGCTGACTAATGTGGAGGACCACAGTTTTCCTTCCCAGCCCACTATCAAACCATCAACCGATGAAGAAAAGGGCCTTTTCTATCACAGAGATATCCAAATGCCTTCAAAGGAAAAAAAATACATTAGACCCATTGAAAATGATTATCAGGATACATGGTGAATTATTTAACTAAAATTTCCTTTTTTGCCCTGGCCTCAAGGAATTTTAAAGCCTACCTGCAACCCACCTCTAGTAACTAGCACAGAACCTGTGTGCAATGATCTCCTGCCTGCTGTTCTTGTCCCATGCTTTCATTAAGTTTATTTGCCCCATTCTTATTACCTAAGCTATTTTTATTACTTGTATCTTTTTTAAAACTATAGGATGTGGGATAAACACACATAAACTTCAATTTATCTATCTATATGTCTTTTTATCTTTGTTCATGGCTTCTACAGTGCCACATTTTTGAGCAATAAGAGCACACTAAAAATGTGTGTTAACTTTCCAAATGCACCAGGAGAGGTTAAATGCTTTTCCTCTCTGTGCTCCCATAAAGCCTCTTACACAGTTTAATTTTGGTTATTTTATAACATACATTATTTGTTTACCTCCCTGTGCCTTCCACTAAATTCTAAGCAACTTTAAAGGCATTGTCTCTAACTTCGGTATTAACACACCTCTTAATTTTGTATCATTTACTATATATTTAGCATAAAATGCTCAAATTATTTTTAAATGAATGAATAAAACAAATAAATTATAAATTAAAACACTCACTCTCCTCATCTCTAACATCAAGCCCTACTTTTACTAAATTCCAATACACAAGTACTTTAGAAGAGGCAGTTTCAAGTGGTAGAAAGGATGTAGGCTTTGGAATTAGGCAGACAGATTCAAGTCCTGTTGTAGTTCTTTACCAGTTACTTAATCCCAACAATTTACCATATTTTCTTGATCCTAAGAGACGCATCTGACTTCAGAAAAAATAAATGGAAGCCTCTTAACTTTCATCTGCTAAATGGAGAGAATACCTACAATTTGCAGGGTTGTAGTCAGGTATAAAAGTACAAGTAAAGGGGGGTGGAGCAAGATGGCGGAGGAGTAGGAGACCTGGATTTCGTCTCCTCTCAGGAATTCAGCTGGATAGGGATCGAACCATTCTGAACACCTACAAACT